CCCACTCAACATTTAACCAGACGAGTTCCTCAGGAGAACATCACGTCACACAGAGAAACAGAAAAGTGTTTAAGTTCAACACACGTGCAAATATTAACTGCAAAATACTCTAGTATTTTATTTTGACAGGGAAAAAAACACTTCCTGTTGTAAAATAAGTGTCCTGAATATGAAAAGTCCCAAAATGTTGTATTGTAAGTTATAAAACTATAGTTTTGTAATAATTAAATGAATATTTGATTCACTGACGATGCTTACAAACTTTCTGCTGTTGATTTATTGACTTTTATTTTGTTATCAGAGGTTCAGAAGAAAATTCTACGCTAACGTGTTTATTAGCTTGTGTCGCCTAAACGATTACGACGTAACTCACTTTTTAAGACATAACGCAACTACGTCTCTCCTGATGGTTTATTTTCACATGGAAACTAGCTGAAGTCATGGCTAATGCTAGCTAACTTCTGCTTCGGTTGGTCACGTGCCGACAAAAAAACTTAGTGAAAAGTTGTTTTTGGGAAAGAAATCCGTGGTTCTGATAATCCAACGGGTCTTCTCACCAGAACTTTGTGTTTGAACCATAGTGGGAGAATCCTAAACATAAACATCACTAAAATCAAAACCACTCCAGTGGATTTTCACAAAACCTGTTAGTTCTGTGGTGATTCAGTCGGCTGCTGGTTTGTCTCCGCATCAGTTTGTCTACAGAACCAGTTCTGGTTCAGTCTGCAGGAGGGATGAGAAATACCGAATCCTGCCTCACACGGAGGCGGTCCAGTTTTCACACGGCGTCTACGTTCACACCTCATTCACACTGACTGCAGTTCGTGTGCTGAATGTCTCCAGATTTCTGCTCCCAGGACCGCACCACATGAGTAGAGACTGGACACATTAAAGGTGTGGGAAACTCGTTTAATCAGTACATTTGCAGTGGCCTCTGGTAGGAGTGAATGCCTTGCTAGCCGTACTCGGGGCAACAGCCCAGAACTGCTTCGATCATCACGGACAAGAGTGGCAGCTGACTTACTCCTTGGGTTTTAAACATCTCTCCTCTGATTGGCTAACAGCAACACGACTCTACCACCGACTCTGTTAGCTCTGCGACGTTGATGTTTTATCTCCACAAATAACACAAGCCTGGAGGAGTTCTGCTGTTTGGTGGAGTTGCTAATGCTAACAGTTAGCTTCTACTAGCCGAGACGTTCTCTGCTGTTTCCTGGACGCTAAACCAACAACAGCCTTCCCCGTCGGGAGTCGAGATGGGTGACTCATGATGCGGTTAAGTATTTTAGAAAGCGATGCCGCCAATTTTCTGCACCGCTGTGACGGCATGCCATAGACCGCGATGGTAATGCTGCACAGTCGTGTCCTTTTTACAAAAGATCAGGTGATGGCGGTGTAAAGAGGGTGTGGGGCGGTCTTTATGCTGCTGCAGACTTCCGTTTATCTTAAACATAACTTGATTTTTATTGCGAATGAAGTCGTGCTCATTAATTTTTGTTAACAAGCCGCTCCTAAAGCGGTCTGTCCTCCCCGTGCAGTCCCTGGTGATCTCAGCTCCAGGAGCGCTGTATTGCTCCAGTTTGCCGTCTCAGCTGATTCTGATTACAAAAGCAAAACTTAGGATCTGTGTTCACTTTTATTTGTAATATATTTCCCTTCCGGAGCTCGCATGACACCTCCCTCGTTTACGCCAAGGCGCAAAATGCATTCTCAAGTCTGGCCTTGCGGTATTATTACTACCAAGTGCTGCAAAATGCCCGCATGGCCATGCCGCCACGGTGGAAGTACTACGCTGATTTGCCGGAGTGGCGTGTCCTCTTAAAGGGGCTGGTGTGACGTAGATCTGTCGAGCTTTTCTAATCCTAGAGCTTCACCGTGTGTTTTCAATCAGAAGCTAATGCAGGAGATAGGTGTAGGAGACTATTCTCATGTTCAGCCTGCATGAAACACTCATGGTCAGGAGGTAGAGCAGGTTGTCCAGTAATTGGACGGTTGCGGGTTTGATTCCAGCCCGACCGGAGAATGCTGGGACCGGTGGCGCCTGTGTTCGGCAGGCCTCAGTGCGCCCCAGGGCAGCTGTGGCTACATCGTAGCTCATCCCCACCAGTGTGTGAATGGGTGAACGACTGATTGTGTAGTCAAGCACCGTGGGGGGTTGGAGAACCCTAGGAAGACATTTACCATAATCAGAAATAACCATTAGCTGTGTTTTCATCTGGCAAATTTCCTCAATCCGATTGAAATCTTGGTTGATCGGAATTTCCGAATCTCTGTTCACATGGACACGAACTGAAATGATCCGATCATGCCGTGCGTACATACGCACCAAGCATTTAATCCGATTAAATAGGTTGAGCATGCGCAGAGTTGCCTTTGCCGAAAGAAAAATTGTAAACAAACGCCATGAAACGAAAAGAAAAATGTAAAAACAGAAATAACTATTCTTCCTGCTTTCCTGATCTATTTATTCAATTTAATATTTTTATTTAGCTCATAGAAGTGACGTTTTCTTCAGTGAATAACTGCACATATATGCTTTGCTGCATTTTATTGTTGATTAAAATAAGGGAGGGTTATGTCTGCCTCTTGATCAGCTGGTCCGCGGGTCTGAATTGACAGCTGTTGCGCTGCGCTGCGGCACAGAGCGGGGGTGGGGGGGGTTAGCCTCATGTTTTATTACTGAGCTCTGTTGTGGCTTATTATTAATAACATGTGACGATCAGCTGAAACTGTTGAGAAAAATTTGTTCAAACTAAATAACAGAAGATGTTCAGAAAGTTTTAGAAGCCTGTGTTCATCATTAACGAACCGCATCTCAGGTCATCTGCGTTTACGTGCTTCTAACACGGACTTTACTGTCGTCCAGAGTATTTAACCGAGGACGTTTTCCTACCCAACATCAGACTCCAATCAGGTCTGTAAAACCCAGATTATCCTGTCTTCTTTACAAGCGTGTCTCCATCACCTGCTGCAGAAGCTGCTGCGTTCAAAGCTGACAGAAACGGGGATCCGTGCGCTGCAACCCCCGCGATAAACCTGCGTATTTCCAGTACAGATTTGAACATGTTTGTCGAATGATTTGTGCAATAATCAGATTTTTATTTTACTTCCACAAAATGCAAGTTCTGAATGAAATATTACTGAAACGGGGACGGCTTGTCGTCGGATTTAAAAGCCACCGCTCGTTAATTACACCGTCATTTTTGAAGTCAGGCAGTCCAAATGACAGCGGAGAGGCCCGCTGGCTGTTGCACACATGCGCAGTGGGCATTATTTTACCCCAACAATCCGAATGGCTGTGTACATGCACGTCAATCGGAATGAAGAACGGAATAAACCACCTCTCTCAATCGGATTGAAATTTCAATCCGATCGGGCCGAATCGGATCAGAATATTCCGATTGACATGTTTACATGCAGAATTTTCAATCTGAATGGGCATTCAATCCGATTAAATATGCGCATGTAAACGTGGCTAGTGATGCTTTTGCAGTGAACCAAAAATACACCTGTAAAAATAAACTGTCATACAGTTATTATTAAGCAGTCAAAAACAGTGTGACGAGTTTTATTTTGAAACTGCATGCACCTTGCTGAGAAACGTCTCACTTCGTGTCTGGCTCGTGCCGTTTCTTTAACTGAAAGAACAGAGTCCGTGCAGAAACGCTGGAGAGCTCCGCTGCACCATATCCGATGTGAATGCTCTGATTGGACTCCACAATGTTTGATTTAAGCGGGAGCCGTACGGAAAGCAGACACTTCCATTAATTAGGGATGCAACGATACCACTTTTTTCCAAACCGATACGATACCGATACTTGGATCTGAATATTTGCCGATACGGTTACCGATACCGATACTTCTACCACACAAAAAAGTTATGATTTGGAATACAGATTTTATTTTCTTCTCTGCTTTCAACAGGAAAAGACTGTGAGGTAGATAAAAAGTAAAATATATGAATAGAAATCATCACAAAACTAAAATATTAGGTGAACAGAAATGACAAGTTACAGTGAAGCCATTTTCAAGCAACTGCATTGGTATCAGTTCCTGGTATCGGTTAACCGATACCGATACTAGTATCGTATTGGTATCTGCACCGATACCAGTATCGGTATCGGTGCATCCCTAACATCCGTGTGTGAAAGAGGCTTCAGGCTCACTCCTTTGTTAAGCTGCTGCTGATGCAGCCTTCCTGCTTACAGTGCTGCTGTTGGCTAGCTGACCAGACCCTCAGACGCTGTCACTTGTTTATACAAACAGGATTTCACCCAGACAGCGGTGGACAGAAAGAAGACTGTGATCTCAGCCCGGTTCTGGAACAATGCTGGGCTCTGCAGAGAAAAGCCTCGACATGTGAGCCCGGCCCAACACCTGTTGGCTAAAACAAACACACAGAGCCCACCGAGTCCCGGAATAAATGGGCCAGCTCTACAGAGAGACGCCGCTGAGACTCGGGATAGGCCCCTAAATCCCCCCTGCTGTCAGCCAGAACTCCGGCCACGGCGCTCCGGCGGGAAGCTTTATTTAGATCAGGATGATCGGGGTCAGTGGTTCTGATCCAACTCCTCTGACCTCCTCAGGGGAGGTGAATGTTCTGTGTAAAAACCATCATACCAGTTCAGTCATGGAAATCCCAACTTCCTGTGACCCGCTTTAGATTCTGGATGTTGCTTCTACTGGGAAGTCTACCTGAGCTCCAGGTGGGCGGAGCTTTCTCACCTGGTTGGTGTCCGCAGGGACGTTTGATCTGATTTATTGCTGCTTAAAAGCCATCCTCGATCCCGATTGGTTGATGATGTCTGTTTGAAGCTTTGTTGCAGAAGGCAGGACTCGTTGGGCCGGTGCTGCTGGAGCGTACCTGGCTCACCTGTTCCGCACCTGCCTTCCTAACCATCAGCTGCTCCTTTACTTGGTTCCTGTGGAGTTTCGGGTTTCCTCAGATTGTTGCTGTGAGAACATTCTAGATGGCTGACGAGGACTTGAGTAAAACCAGCTGAATCAGAAACCGATTTTATTTTGAAAATCAAGTGAGAACCTCAGTTACAGGAAGTATCTCTAAATGTGACGGTCTCTCATCTAAAACAAAGTTCTTTACACTAAAAACAGAAACACGTATCCCATAAAGTCCAAACAGCTGATTCTATTTACAGAAGAAAACCACTGGTGCTTTTATTTTGACACTCAATCCTTTCAGAAGGTTTATATTAAATTATTGTGTAGCTTAAGTGTTAAGGATGGAAGGACTGATTAATGTGAAGTCCTGAAACCAAACAGATGTGCCGGGTTCTGGGTTCTGGTGCATCAGTCCAGCTGATCTCCATGTTTTTATGTTTTGTAGATCTGATGGTTTCCTCCGGCGGCTGTCGGGGGAATCGCCACACTTGCTCCCACCTGGACATCCTGGAAGCCCAGCCTCTGCTTCCTCTTCCTCTGCTCTGTCATCTGGACGCAAATGATGAGTGAGAATGGTTCATCAGACTCAAACGGGCCTCAGCAGCAGGTCTGGATCAGAACCGTGAGATGCGTTTACCTGTTCTTTGAGATCATTGAGCTGCGTGGTCAGATTCATCACCACCTTCATGGTCGACGCCAGCTTGTCCTGCAGCATCCGCATCTCGTTCTGCTCGCCGTCGCTGTCGGTGACCACCAGAGACATGGCCTGCATTCGTGGGAACCAGTCCAGGTTGTTGTTCTGCAGCAGCAGGAGGAGAGGGAAACGTCTGAGCTCAGAACCACAGCGTGCTGTTCCGGACTCTGACCTGGGTCCTACCTTGATCATGTGAGCCACGTAGCTCTCCGGTCCCGTGTAGTCCGTCTTGTTCTTCTCACGCACCAGGACGATGAAGTACAGGTAGTTCCAGATGTTGTGCTCCAGTTTGATGTGCTCCTCAAATGACACCGTTTTGTTGTCAAACTTATCTCTCTCCAGACCTGCAGCGGTTATGAACAGCAGGTTCTGCTCCGTGATTGGACCGTTTGGGTGGTGACCTCAGTACCTGGTCTTAGCAACCTTCTACTCACCACAGATGAAGCACGTGGTCTTCAGGATCTCCTCCTTCTTTTGTTTCTCGCTCCTCAAGTCGGCGAACGTGTCAATGATGACGCCAAAGATCAGGTTGAGAACGATGATGATGACGATGAAGTAGAAGAGCAGGTCGTAGACGACTCGAGCAGGAAACAGCGGCTCCTGCACGCAGGAGAGCACCTGGTCAGTAACGTACTTATTTACGCTCAGATCTCCAGACAAGGTTCTTACGTTCTTAGATGGTTTTCTGAGAACATCTCCAACTCCGCCTCCATTCCTCAGTCCGTGGTTCATCACGGTAACGATGCACATGAGCAGCGTGTCACACGCTCGCTCCGTGTTCGCCTCGTCTGGAAAACACGCACACAAACGCAGCTAGAGCAGAGATCCGTTTATCGGGCGGAAATCAGCTAATCTCGTTAGTCTGTCACACAACTGATCCATCACGGCTATTCTCTTCAACTTCCAGGAAAAGAAACAGGGACCTCCAGCTGCTCCCGGGGATCCAGGTACAAAGACATCCAGGTAAAACCTCCTAAAACTTTTAACATCCTCTTTCATAAATCAGCTCCAGGAGGATTTATCTACCAGAGAAGTTCCTGTAGAGCAGATCCAGCATGTTTTAGTGATTTCTCTGATGCAACACAGCTCTGCAGCAGCTCTGCAGAAGCCTTTTAGGCCTAGTCCACACGTAGCCGGGTTTTTTCAAAAACGAATATCCGCCCCTCCAGAAACTTGCATCCACACCACCTCGTTTTAAAAAAAAAACTCTGTCCACACGTACCCGGATAAATACGTTGTTAAGGACATGCCAGACCTGTAGGTGGCAGTACTTCCCCCGTTCTTAACCTCGTCCTTCGTCTGTGGTCTTCCGCAAGGATCAGTAATTCCTCTTGCAAAAACAAACAAGCAGAAAGCGCTTGGACGATTGATAAAGCGAGCGCAGCTCTGAGGGCATCCATGCTGTCGGCTAGTGTAAACACAGGTCGCACACGTGATGTCAGCATTTTTTTGTCATGGAAAGTGACTTTACGGACCTTAAAACTCCGGTTTTGTCCGTCCACACGCAGACACCCAAAACGGAGAAAACGCAGATCTTCACTTTGGCCGGAGTTTTTAAAAAGATCCGTTTTCGTGTGAAAAAACTCCGTTTTCGTGTGGATGACAGGCCAAAACGTAGAAAAATATCTACGTTTTGGCAGATCCCCGGCTACGTGTGGACAGGGCCTTAATCAGGTGTGTTGGAGCAGAGGTAAAACACAAGAGGTAGCCCCGCCCATTCACGCTAACTCAGCCCAGCCCGCTGACCACCTGGTTTTGTTTTTTTCTTTATAGCAAACTAACGTGACTCGTGTGAGTTACGGCTGCTGCTAGTTTACAATCATTAATGCCATCTTCTGTGTTCCAGTTAAGCAAGATGAATATAATTTGCCACACACCAAAACCCGCCGTTGCTTTAGGTTCAAAGCCTCCACTTCATGAATTTACCTGCATTTAGCCGATGGCGGGTGCTAATTTTCACCCGATCGGAACATTCATAGTGCTGAGTTCCGTGTAGATGCCCTAAATGACCTTCTGTTAGGAGGAGGTTTGTTCCTAAAACTCCAGTAAGCCTACTGGTCGGCTCCAAGTGGACCAGCATGTTTCAAGAGGAGACTTTCAGAGGTTCATACCATCCTCCTCAGGCCGGTTGCCAACCTCCGCGGTGCAGCTGACTCCGTCTGAAGAACACGAGCTGAGGAAGTCCTGCGAGGCTTCACTCTGCCCAGGAGCTAAACACACAGCAGTCAGAACCGACCCTCTGGAGAACGGGTTCGTCGGAGCACAGGGCCAGAACTCACCTTCAGCAATCTGAGACAGATGATCCACCTCCATGATGAAGTCCTCCTTCAGGAAGAGAAAGCCCACAATGGAGAAGAGGTAGACGAGGATGAGGGCGAGCAGTGCCGTCAGCAGGATGGAACGCCCGTTGCGAGTGACGCTCTTTATTACGTTGAACAGCGTCTCCTCTCGGTAAATCAGGTCGAAGAGCTGCACGGAAAAACGTTAAAGGTTCTCTTCTCAACAGAAGCCAGATCTTCAGGAGGACCCTCAGACTTACCAGGATGCTGTAGAAGAGCTCATGGACAAACAGGCCCAGGGTGGAGGTCAGGACGTAGGCCAGGTGGTACAGGAACTCCACATCCATCACCATGGCCTTGTAGCCCATAATGAAGGTCCCGTTGTTCCCCACAAAGCTCACCACAAACACCACCTTGTTGATCAGCTGGAGGCAGGAAGACAATAGGTCAGGAAGACCAGAACCCAGAGTCCTGACCCAGGTCCAGTTTAGTGGAGGAGAAGGGTCCTGGACCGGAGCGACGGCGTTTCTTACGTTCAGCGACCCAAGCAGGATGAGGGTGTTGCCGATGCCCAGGTGGTAGATGGACCTGAGGATCAGAGCCAGGGTGAGCGGCTGCAGACCACGCTGAGAGAGCAGACCCAGAACCGAAAGTCCGGTCAGGATCCAGAACAGCATCAACAGCATGGAGTCATCGATGGCTCCTGCAGAGGAAGAGACCGCGGACAGGATGAGCTGCAGCTTCTGACAACACACCCAGATCCGTCCAAGAGTCACAAGACATCTGCAGCCACCGCCGTGGGCCGACGGTCTCGGCCCGGTTAGATTCTGGGTTTGGGTCAATCTGATACATAAAATGTTTAACCTGGATTAAACCCTTTGTAAGATTTTTACATTTCAGTCAATGAAGAATAAAATCTTTTGTTTAGAGTCGAGTGTATGTGGGGAAAGGGGGCGGGGCTAAAGTTCTGGCGTCTCAGTAGTACCTTGGCCCGAGTCGTAGGGGTAGAAGAAGGCGATGATGAGGTTGATGAAGACAGCGAGGTTGAACGAGATGGTCCCCCACAGACTCATCCGTCTGGAGAACCAGTACAACACGGGCATACCTGAAACCAGAACCGCAGGTCAAACCAGAACCACTCAGGATGGACCAGAACTCGGTCTCGATCGGTCCTCACTCCTCAGCTTCTTCTGCCACTCCATCTCTCCGTGCAGGAAGGACGTCTGCTCAAAGAAGTGTGTGACCTTTGACCCCTGCTCGTCCTGCTCCGTGGTGTTGAACACTCTGGACTTTGACTCCTCCGTCAGAAACTCACAGATGGGATGGACGGGAAAGACGATCTGCTCCATGCTGCGGTCCTCCCGGACAATCTGAACAGAGACCAGGAACCTTCAGAGGAACAGGAAGACACCTGACAGCAGGGCACATGGCGGGGAATCCGCGGGTCCGTAAGTCTTAAATTAGCTTTTCCAAATTTAAGACCTTAAAAATGACAAATAATCCTTAAATACAGTTTCCAAAGGTCTTAAATTACCAAAGACCCAATAAACAAGATTGTCTTATTTCTATAAAAGTTTTGTGAATTTCAAGTTAGTGTTCAGCTTTTTTTGTGTACGATGCCCCACTAGCTGGTTAAGCTAGCCATGGGGAAGTGCAGGTTTAATGGTAACTAGATGGCTAATCCCGACGTGGTCAGCACCGGTTCCAGGCAATAATAGCTTAAATTTGGTCAAAGTAGCCTTAAAAAAGATCTAAAAGAGTCTTAAATTTGGCTCTCTTAAACCTGCAGGTACCCTGCATGATGTCACGCCGCTCAGGTGACCACCCCTGTGCCATGATGGACGGTAGAAAGACTTGATTACACACTGAAACTCCAATGAAACGAGCCAGTCTGTAGCTTTGAGCCGTTTTCACTGTAAGATGGTCGTTTGCTGCACTAACGGACGAGGATGTAAACTCAACTCGTCGGTTTTAAGTAACATTGATGAGGCTGAGGACGGAGATGAACCGCGGCTCTCTAATTATTTTGGGATTTGCAGCGAACACGTTTTACCAGGTAAGACTAACGTTCATACATTTCACGAGGAAGACGAGGACTGGCGTGCGGTTTTACCATGGAGGATGCGCGGCACCATCCACTGTGGTGAAATACGAGCTAATTATTTACAAGATTGTTCCAGTGTAGGATTACGTCTGTTAAGTTTACGTTATTTATTTAGCATGGTGAGCGTCGTCAAGAAAAACCTCGTCCTGGTGTGAGTAGGAGCTGACCTCTGACCCTGCCAGCGACAAAAACTGTTTTCATCAGCTCCAAGTTAAAGCGAAACGCTGATGACATAATGTTATAAATCCAGCGGGAAGAACGTAGCGTTCTAGCTAGCTCAGCTAAACTTTTGTTGACACCGCTCTCTATGGCCCGTCCTAAGTGTGCTAAATCTTCCCACAAGTGAACTGGGCTTGAACCAGTAGAGACCAGTTCAAGTGTCATCAGTCCCACTTTTCTTCTCCGTTCGATACTCTCATAGCTCACTGTTGTCCCACTTAGACGAGCTACTTCTACTGATAACTGGGCTTGAACTAGTTGAAGCCATGCACACAAAACAACAACAACAAACAATCTTAGACACTACGTTTTCCTGTTTTAGTACTCGTGTCACTCATTGTTTACGTGCTTTTGCCAAACAACATGGTGGACCTACGTGACGAGACCCAATGACTGGAGTTAAAAACTCAGACACCCTAACGTTCTGCAGGATGTTCTTCGTTCCAGCTCCACACATCTGATCATTTCAAAAAGATTGACCTTTTTCAGAACCACAGCATGAAGCTGCGGTACCAGTACCTCTATCTGAGATGTTAGCTGGTCGTAGAACTCTAACGGGTCCTGTTCCACCACATCAACAGGAGCCGAGGACTTCAACATCTGAGACAGAGGGCGGTTGTTCAGGTTCAGCTGCAGAGACACAAACCGCAGCAGGACTTCAGTGTTGGACGACAAGAGCAGAACCAAAAGACACCGCCAGAACCAGAGGACAGACAGTTACCATGGAGGAGATGCCCTCCTCTCCCTCTGGACTCTTCTTTTGCGGCTTCAGGAGGTTCTGGAGAAACTTGTTGTGTCTCGCCAGCTAAAAAGAGAAAAACGTCAAACTTCTGATCCAGTCACAGATCATCAGAACCATCCAGCCAATCAGGAGGCTGCGTTTGGTCACCTGCTGAGCTAGGATGTAGATGTTGTGTCCCACTTCCCGAGAAGACACCTCCACCTCCTCACACTCACAGTCCTGAAGGTAGGCCTTCTTTATGACCTCCACCTGCACGCACGCACGCACGCACGCACGCACGCACGCACACACACACACACACACACACACACACACACACACACACACACACACACACACACACACACACACACACACACACACACACACACACACACACACACACACACACACACACACACACACACACACACACACACACAAAACCAACCAATTTGGGTCATAACAGCTGTTTCATCTGCCCCGGTTTTGTGGTTCTGGTTCTGACCAGCTCTCGAGGCCGCAGGTTGAACAGGATCCTCTCGGCGTTCTCGTTGTCATGGCGACTCTCCATCAGTGCCAGCAGTAGCTTGGAGGCGTTGTCCTGGCAACCAGGCCAGAAACAGGAAGTTACCATCCAACATGTAATTTTACAAGACAGCAGCTGATTGTTGGTCGCCGCCCCCTAAAGGCAGCTAGCGGGAACTACACTCTGAAGAATCTTCTCATCTATAAGCATCTGTAATAAAGACTCATCATGTGACTTTTTAATCAAAAATAGTTTCAATAAACATTTTTAGACTGACACTAAACCAGTTCGGCTTCAAACTTTGTTTTTCAGTAACACACCTTCACTGGAGATGAAAGAAATCTAGTATATAGCGCCTCAAGATGAAAATCACGAGGCGCTTCACACAAAAATATGATTAAAATGGTGACAAAGGACATGCAAACACCTGAACAGGTGCGTTTGAAGGAGACCACTGAGCCCACTGATCTCAGGCTCAGGGGGAGAGAGGTCCCACATGCAGGATGCTGCTGAGTAAACTTCTGTCTGTAGCACGGAGAGTGAGGTGTGTGTGTGTGTGTGTGTGTGTGTGTGTGTGTGTGTGTGTGTGTTTCAGAGTCTCCAAAAGCAAAACTAGCCCGCCTTAGTTTACTTTTCTATGGAGGACACCGCGGACTTTCCCACGTGCATTAAACCCCGCCCACAAGCTCGGGAAATTCCGCATTCCTGAGAAGTCCCTGGAATTTATATGTGACAACTACACCGCCCGTTTGAGACCGAACGCCGACCGTGCCGACGCCGATGTGTAAGCGCCACAAGAGTCTCTGACTCTGGGAACCAGCTTGTCTGGGGCACAGATGAGGATCTCGGTCTGATCTTCATCCAGGTTTACTGGAGTCTAAGCAGGCGTGGAACAGCTGCAGCTTAGACATCGGTTCTGGTTCCTGGGCAATACCGGGTCATCGTAAAGAACTCTACATAACAGAATCGATGATGACAAAAATTCTGCTTCTAGAAACCAAACATGAAGGATCGTTACTGGTAGCACGAATCAGCCAAGGACCGGCTCTAGCGGACGTTCCGATCCAGATTCGGCTCGCTGACGGTTGAGCCTTACAGGTGACCCGACTTACCTTCAGCTGTAAAACCATCTCCATTCGGTATCGAGACAGAGGACTGATGTCATTCAGGATCAGAGCGGTGATGATGTCGATGCCGTTGGACTCGTGGGTCACGATGCACGTCTGAAACAATACACACAGTCCTCAGAGGTTCTGATGTCATGAGGTCCAAAACCAGGAGGAGTTACAAACAAGCCAAAAGCCCAAAGAAAGAGCCGAGTTCTCAGACAGAACCACTCTAGTGTGTTGGTGGACCTGGTTCTCCTGACACGGGCCCTGGCAGTACTCTGTGAGCGTCTCCAGGGTCTGGATGATCAGGTGGACGTTGGATTCGTTGATGTAGAGGCCCAGAAGGCCCAGTCCACCGGTGGTGCTGCCACACATGATGTCCAGGAACTGCAGAGTCTCACAAACCAGGTTATAGTTGGTTTTGTTGTTCTGGACCCGCAGAAAGTTCTGAAAACAAAACAGAGCCGTTCTGTCAGGTCACATCAGGCTGAAGTTCTCCTGAAGACCTCCAGGTGGCGCCAACTCGCACCAACTAACCTGCAGGTTCTGGTTGTGGTTCTCACACAGCAGCTGCAGGAACCTGAGGATGGGTTTCATGATGGTGACGGCCGGTCCCATCTCCATCTCCGGCTGCTCTGGAGGAGGCTGAGCCGGTAGGGCGGAGGCGACGGACTGACCCTGCACCAGCAGAGGGTGACCTCCTGAACCAGGAAGAGCCAGCGCCGCAGATCCTGCTTTACAAGTGGAACACGGCGAAAAAGGTTAAATTCTCACAGCTTCCTGAAACATCTAACGAGAAGCGTGTCTCACCGCTCTCCAGCTCCTTCTCGTTAGCCTTGTGCGTCATCTCGCTGACGTTGACAGAAACTGTTGCTTTAATGTCCATCTGAGCTTCTTTCATCCTGTCATCAAGAACTTTGAAGAACTTCTCGGACTTGTTGTCGCCCATCATCAGTTTGTAGAAGGAGTTCTGCAGAAGGACAGGAAGTGGACTTCAACAGATCAATCAGTAGGTTCTGCTGTGGGCCCAGTAGATCTTACTGGTTTTATTAGCAGGTTCAGGTCTGGTTCCAGACACAAGACTAAAACCAGTTCAGCACCAGTCCCTAAACTTGGTCTTCTCTCAGGTGTTACCTGGATCTCTGTGTTCCCTCCCTCCAGGAGACAGATGGCCAGCTGGATGCTCTCCTGGAAGATCTTGTCGTTCTTGGTGCTCATCACCAGATCCGTGAACAGCTTTGTTCCTCCTTCTCGGTCCAAACGGCACTGAACAGCAGCCACCATGGCCCAGTCTCGCTCCTGCTCACTACCTGACCCACAAACACAGGATGAGAGGTCCCCTCATCTCCAAGCATCCACAGCTGTAGCAAAACCATCGAGACCATCTCTTCCTGTCTGCAGCAGAACCTGATCAGGTTTACGATTTGGTCTCTTATCTCCAGCTTTCATCTCTGCAAGCCCCAGTGGAACACCTGGAGATGCTACAGATCCACTCATCGCACGTCAGGCCTTCAAACAAGCAATTCTGTTGCACTTCCTCTTCCTGTGATGTCACTTCCTGTCAGGAGCTTACTGTACATCCAAACATGACCCTCATGGGCCTTTTGATTCATCTCCAAGGATTTCTGCTGAGTCTAACCTGACGTACTTCTGGGGCTTTTATTGTGAAGAAACATCATGAAGTAACGTACGTGTGTGTGTGTGTGTGTGTGTGTGTGTGTGTGTGTGTGTGTGTGTGTGTGTGTGTGTGTGTGTGTGTGTGTGTGTGTGTTTACCAGCAGCTCCTAGTTCAGCCAGCTCATTCTTCTGGTTGTTCTTTTTGTTTGGAAACAAGTAGTTCTGCAGCAGAACCTTCCTCAGTGAAATTCCCTGAAATGAAGAAAAAGAGATCCGATCCAGATCCGACCAAGATCAGATCCAGAACAGGAAACTATTTTTCCACATCTGAGCAGTTTCTGAATTTAAAACCATCCTGGAATCTGGGAACCTCCAGGGAATTCTGACGAACCTCCCGTCCCGTTTACCAGGTCCAGTAGGACCAGATCAGAACTCTGATATCTGGCTGATCTGTTGAACCTCGTTCTGATTGGACCCACACAGCAGCTCTGGTGTCGCCAGCATAATAAAGGTCACGTGACAGATCAGGTCAGAGGAGAACCTGTGACCTCACTGACCTTTTCATCAAAGTCCAGAGTCCTGATCAACATCTCCTGCAGCGTTCTCAGAACTTTGATGCACAGCTTCTCCTCCGAGGACATCAGAGTCTTGGTGTGCTGGATCAGCCTACACGCCACAAACATCAACATCATTTCCCATCACGCCTCTGGCAGCGGAGACTTGGTGGACCTGGACCTACTTGGAGATGAAGCCTCCGGACTCGCAGCGCTGCCGGACGTCGGTTCCCTCCTGGAACAGCAACTCCGGCTGATGGAGAACGTCCACCAACACGGAGAGTTCAGCATTCACCAGCGGCTTCAAACGCTCCTCCAGCGTGTTGATGATGTCCTGAAATGTCAACAACCCATCAGCTGATGTTCTGGTACCAGCTTGCGGGTTCTGTGTAGAGAAGCGATGCATTTCTCCGGGTCTCAGCAGGTGAGCGGCTTACCTGCAGCTTCTCGATGATGTTCTTGTAGTCCCAGGGGTTACTGGAGGGAATGGGTCTGGCGGACCGGGACATGGATTTGTAGTTTGGGTTTGAGCGGTTCAGAGAGTTCTGAACCGAGTTGGCCAGCACGTTCTTGATCAGGGCCTCCAGCTCCAAAGAGAGCGGGATGGACCGGTTCTTCGCTACGGACAGCAGAAACATCTCAGAACCGGAAATGACTCCGAAAACTTATCCCACACTCGAGTAGTTGTTCTGGATTTGGGATTCCTATGTTTAGGAGCTCCTTCGGCACCTGAAGGGGGTGGAGTCAGGTGTGTGTTACCTGTCATGGAGAGCGTCTTGATGCAGGTCTCCACTTGTCCTCTGTGCTGCTGCTGGAGCCAGGGACAGTCCAGGAGTCTGATGGAGGACTGGAGGAGCTGAGTTACGATTGTGTGATGAGTCTAACACACACACACACACACCTGATCAGTTTAAAACAAACACACACGCAACCCCCACAGGTGATGTGACCCCCCCCACCTGCAGAGACGTGCTGTTCTCTGAGAATGGCGAGCTGAAGAAGGCGGTGATGGTGTCAAACACCACGTTGATGATGTACTTCTCTAGAATGGGATCGGAGAGGCGTTTCTCTCGTTTGTTACACACCTGCAGGACCAGAACCACCAGAACCATCAGAACCATCAGGCCAGGACCGAACACAACTCAGATCTACTGCAGACGTGTGTTCTGACCCGAGCCATGTCCACAGTAAAGTCATCAAACAGTTTCCAGATGTGGTTGGATGTGTAGATCTCCTTCATCTCCACCTCCGTGTCCACGTAGCAGTGGTTCACAAAGTTCACGTAGGCGATTTTCACCTGCACACACACACACGCGTTAACCCCCCCACGCTAGCCTGGCCTGCCAGACTCGCCCTCTGACTACTCTACACAGAGGACCATGAGGGGCGGGACTAGCCGGCTCAAAAATAACCAATCAGAAAGAAGGATAGAATGATGACTGTATCGTGCTTTTTAGCTGTAGTCAAAGATGGCGTCTGCCGACGGCGCAAGCATCTTGTTTAGAAGAAAGGCTTTTAGAAGACATGTCCAAGTCATATAGAACAGAGGAAGGAGCCGCAGCGAACGCCGCTTCAGACGCCATCTTCGTTGTTAAAGAGCAAGTCACCCCCTACCAGAGTATTACTCCACTCCCACTTCCTGTTTGAAAAAGGCAACAAATGCTGTTGCCTAGCAGACCGAGAAGGCGGAGCCGCTAACAAATACACACACAGGCTCACAACGACATTGTGACATCATATGGTACCAGCTAACGTTCTAGGATACCTCTTAGCCAATAGCGATGGCAGATTTAAATTCAAATGCAGTTTTTACCTGACGACGGCACAACACTGACAGTTTTAGATAGAAAATTAAAATTTTAACTCAAATGCACTAAAGTGCAAAACTGTTGACGACACGTGTCTGCAGCACGATTAGACACTCATTTGTATAGTTTATCAGAAAAATACGTTGATTTGGGGGTGACTTGCTCTTTAATGAGAAACTGAACGCCGCGGTGTGACGTTCGCTGCTCGGCTGGGTGGGGTTATTTGAATGGGAGCGTTAGCAGGCCCTTTGCTTCCCATAAAGAAGCATCGGCATGACTGGCCAGGCGAAAGTGGGTCGGACAGTCAGAACCTCGGTGATGCAGTCCTGGTGAGTCACCACTCGGACCGCGTCCTCCAGAGGCAGCAGAGACGTGCATTTGATCTCCGTGTAGACGTTCTTCCCTTCAGCGCAGGCGGCCAGCAGCTCCACCAGAGAAATGTGGTACCTGCAGACCAAACACCTGATGAAGTTCTGCAGAACCCACGGCTCGGTCCGGTTCGACAGGACGAAGAAAACATGTAAATACTCAAAAAAACCTTAAGAACACATAAAGTAATAAAATGTTAAAAACAAACTGGATCGTTTAAAAACTGCTTAGCTGTTAAAGTCTCACATCTGAACTCCAGTGCTTAGATGCAGACGGTTGCCGTGGTTACCTGAGTGGGCTGTTCTCTCCAACACCCTCCCGGCTCTCGGCCATCAGCGCCAGCATGACGTCAAATGAGGTTTTGTCGTTATAAAAGATGACCACATCCTCGCCTGCATTCGTCAGCTACAAAGAGCCACAAAGCCTTCGTCATCCAGCTGAACGTCCTCTGAAGACGTGAAGCGACGTGTCCTCACCTCGGTCATGATCATGTCCTGGCACTTCTTCACGTATTTGCCTTCAGCCTTGATGATGGTATGCAGGAAGTTGAGGTACTGGACGTGGCGGCCGTGCGTCGCCAGGCAGTGGATGAAGTGGTGCAAGACGCTCTCAGAGATCTCGGAGCAGAGCTGGTAGTTGTTATTGAAGATGTGCTGCACAGTCTCCGCCTCCAGCAGCTGCAGGTGAGGGGTAGGGTTACATCATAACATCTCTGGTCTGACCAGCTGATACCCGTAGGAGGAGCGTACCCCGGGGTTGAGGAAGAGGGCCAGGTTCTTGTGCAGCAGAGCCTGGTTCTCCTGGTTCCCCATGCAGAACTTCTGCAGGAACTGATGAGTGTACCTGATGATCTCCTGCATCTTTACATCGTTCTACACAACAAACAAAAATGTTTTGATTCGTGTTGCTGAAATAACCGCATCTCACCCAAAGAGTCTGAATGAAACAGTTGCGAGCAATCCTCGAACTCGGACCCCAGAAACAGTTATTTTCTGTGCTTTTAATTTGGCGGTCCCAGGCTCACCTTGTCATAGGAGACCTGGAGCAGGTCCAGCATGACTTTATGAGCCCCCATGTTCTTCAGCAGCCTCTGTTGCTTCTTCCAAACTCCAGTGCTGCACATCTTATACAGCCTCTCCAGGATCTGATGTATGAAAAACTTTCCCATCAGAAAATCTTCTCATAAAACTCGGAATATTTTAAAACGGCTAAATCATGTGAGGGTTTGTGCGTCTGAGCCAACGTTCAGATGAAAATCAGTCATTCCAGGACTTTTAAATCCGATCAGCTGTTATGAGATCCATCACCGAGCGGCAGGCTCAGAACCAAACATCCCGTTAGCAGACCAGGAGGGATTTGTGAGCTAGCTCCCGTTAACGAAGCTCTGACCACAGATTCACTCTAAACTGAGACACGTTCACAGGTGAGTCCAGCTGGCTGGTCTTTAAACCTCCAGGAGGACGGGACGAGACCTCCCCAACCCCAACTCCCACAGGAGCAGTTTGACAAAACTTGTGATTCAAAGTGAAAATTGTGTCAAAGCTGAACTCAGAAAATTTAGGTCAAAAACAAAAAAACAATCATGGCTGAAAAGTTTTGATTTGCATCGATTTACAAGCTATTCTAGTTTGGTTTTTTTGTTGATCTGTTTAGTTTAGAGACATTTAGTGAAAACTGCAGGAAAAGTCAGACGTAATCATCATAAGCCCCGCCCACAATGAATGATTGTGTGAAATAATCTGAGAAAACACCACAGAAAAAAACAGACCTGTAAAATAACCGGATTAAAAGCTGGAGGAGCTCACACAGGTGGGTTTCTCACCTCTTTGACGTTCTGGTAGCTCTCGTTTCCCTTCTCCAGCTTCTCCTTTGGGGATTTGCCCTCTGCTGCCCCCTGGATGATGCAGAGCGTAAGACAGCACAGGCAGGCCTCTCGTTAAGTACGTTTCCATGAACCAGCTGGAAAAGTGTCATCTGCTCTATAACCAAAAAAGCAGCTGATCTCCTGAATCTTCTCTGATTGGCTGGGTTCGTGGATCTGATCAGGCTCCGCCCACTTTAAATGGCAGCAAAAATGTTTCAATCGTATATAAAAGACAGGCGTGTGCCCCACGTTCGTTTATGCCCTGGTTCATGTCTGAAAGTTTGTCTATCAGACAATAAGAACCAGAACCTGAACTGGACCAGACCAACAAACTGCTTTGATCAGAAGACCCTCTGAATCAAAGTCCAGTATGTCATGAGAAACACAGACTCTGATGTGCGGGTCAAGGACTGACCTGTGTGTTTTCACCCTAAAGAGGCGAAACACTGAAAAACCACATTTTAATTATTCTGATTCTAACGGGTCACTCTGAGTGTTTCATGCAGGCCGAACATGAAAATAGTCTCCTACACCTATCTCCTGCTTTAGCTTCTGATAAAAAACAGACGGTGAAACTCTAGGATTAGAAAATCCTGACAGATCTACGTCACGCTGTCACTAACATTCATGGACTCACCCATCTGGACTCACGACGGGGAAGGCTGTTGTTGGTTTAGTCCAGGAAGCAGCAGAGAACGTCTCTGCTAGTAGAAGCTAACCGTTAGCATTAACAACTCCACCACACAGCCGAACTCCTCCAGGCTTGTGTTATTGGTGGAGATAAAACATCAACGCTGCAGAGCAGACAGAGTTAGTGGTAGTCCTGTTGCTGTTAGCCAATCGGAGACATGTCGAAATCCTGCCGTATGAAACTCCTCGGATGTGGCAATTTTCTAGTTCCCAAAACTGGGGCGCCGGTCCTTTGTTTCCCCAGAGTACGACTTCCAAAAAGTTAATTCCTACTAGAGACCACTGCAGATGTATTACACCTGTAACAGCCACTGCACCAAGCTCTCAACTCCCCATCCCCACCCCACCGACAAACTACAAGCAACATCCTTGGCGGTACCTACTGGATCAAGTGTCTGATAACCACTAATGAGTCTCTCATCCCTATGCAGGAGTTTAGTCCTGCTTTTCTCTACAGAATCGTTTAAACTCTGCCACATTAGAGGGTTTCCAGCAGGAACATCCTGTTTAAGGTCAAAGGTCAGGCATTCTCCTTCGGGATGTTCTGCTAGAAAGCAGAATTCACGGTTCCATGAGTTACAGCACTTGGTCCAGGTCCTGAAGCAGCAGAGGAGCCCCAGACCATCACACTGCCACCACCATGCCTGACTGTTGGTTTAGTGTTAGTTTGACTGCAGGTGAAACAGGACACACGCCTCCCAGCCGAGGTTTTGTTTCTTCCGTTGAGTTTGTTGCTGTTGGGATGTTATTTAAAATGATCAAACACATCCCAGAAACACTTTAAAAGCAGAAAAACCCAAGTCCCGCACCAGATGTGAACCCAAGGAGACAAAATCAGCCGAGACACCAACAAAAAGCCCAGAAACCAGAAGAAACATGTCTCTGTTTGTTTTTACTACAGATTTCATTCATAAGTAACAGTAAAGAGTTTAACCTGAACAGTGAATTGGTTTGTTGTTTAACCGTTTCCCTCCCAGTGTCCGACGTCTAACTAAAGCAGTTTGCAGACGATATTTAACTTTTCATACCTGGATCTTTTCTTTGATTTCTGGGTGTTTTTAGGAGTCGTGTTAACTTAATTTAATCCTCTCAGGTTAGTGGATTGTTGAAAGGCAGCTTTGGTTTGGACACAAACGTCCTCCAATAAACAGAAGAGTCAGCATTTAGAAACTCTCCTGATTATCTTATGGAGGCCAGCCTGTGGAAGGATGTGTTAAACCCGGCAGATGGGCCGTAGACACCCGTTAGTACCAGGTGTTATATAGAGATGGGTGCCCAGTTAAAACTGTCCTCACCTCATCTTTCTCCTTTCCCTCTCCTCGACCCGAGCCCTTCTTTTCCACCCACAGTTCAGATTTCTCCACCAGGGTCCGGAGGCGGTCCAGGTCCGCTTTAATCAGCTTGTAGTTGTCCACATCCTGAGCCGAGATCAGCAGCTGAACCTGCAACCAGACCTGTGGTTTTAATTATGAAGGGAACACATCTGATCCCAGGGACGCTTGGTTCGTTTTCCCAGGATTTTCTCTGAAGTACAAACCTAACTTCCTGTTCTGCTTGATTTTTACTGGTGAGAGTAAAATAATAGACTTTATTCATTATTTTCACTGGTTCCCTTTCGGATGTAGAACTCGTGTTCCCAAGTTTCTGGATCTGATAACTAAATCTGGGTCACTCTTTCTGTCATGTTTGCTGGATTTACTCACATTTTATCAAAGGTCGCACTTATGAGGACCAAACCAAACACCCTGGTTAGCAAATTAGCAAAGGAACCAAAACGGGTAGCTCTGGAAGCTTCATGAATCATCATCTGGACAGATCTGCTGCCAGTCTAACCAGAAGAATCTCCGATCGTTTCTCCTTTGTGCTTTGAGCTGTCTGGTCCCTGTTGGGGACCAGGTGTGGCGTACCTGTTTGAAGGTGTGCAGGACTTCCTGTCTCTGGCTGAAGTGTCTAAAAAGCAGCTGCAGAGCTCCAGACACCAGAGGAGCGTAATTGTGCATCGTGAGATGGATCAGAACCCGCAGGAACATCCTACCGCCTTCATCATCCACCTCCAGGATGCTGTTTCCCTTCCTACACACACACACACACACACACACACACACACACGCCTCATTACAACCTAACCTGCAGTCTCAATACCCACACTGCAGCCCATAGTCCTCAGCCTTGGAGGAAGTGCATGTAAGCCTTTGAGAGCACCGGGTCCTCTTGCTACAATGAAACTGAATGATCACCATTTCACTCAACAATATTTAAAAGGCATCTTTCCAACAGAGAAACATGCAATTGTAACCATACACAATAATAAAATAATCAATATACACCAGCTTAGTGGCCCAGTGGTATGTGTGCCCCTAAGACTGGGAGAGCGTTGGATCAAATCCATGGTTGGGTCATACCAAAAGCCTTACCAATGGGGTTAAACCACCTAATGGTTCCTGTGTGGCGTCTGTGGCTCACCACTCCCCCAGGAATGGGTCAGATGTAGAGCAATAACTGTCACCAGTGTGTGATGACTGATGGGACTTTAACTTGGGAAAGCCACTAAAGCCATTTCTGCCTTCTCAAAATTCCCACACAGCAATGGATTGTGGGTAATACCTAGATCAAGGGTGCAAAAGAGGCGGGGCCTAGGTCCACACTCCAGAACTGAGACATCCTACACACTCGCACCCCTGGATGGGAATGTCCATTTTAAAGGGCAGTGTGGAAGTATTGGGACCAGGCCAAAGACTTGATGACCTACCTGACACCAAACATGGCCTCTGCCTGCTCTCCAATCTGCTGCAGGTTGATGGTGGCTGAAGAGGGACAAAAATGTCAAGAATTTGACAACAAACTCAGTTTATACAGCAGACGAATAATTTTTACCAGAGCTGGAAGAAGAGGCAAAACATTTATAAATGAAAAATAAGTAGCGGGTTCAATAATTCCTTATTAGGTTTAACATCTGCTCTGACCTCTCAGAGTCAGTCTAACATTCCACAGCAGAAGAAGAAAAAGTACTGATGCTGGGGAATAAGGTGACTGTGGTGATGCTGCTTAACGTCAGGGTCACCGTGGTAACCACTTAGTGATGATGAGCTGAAGCTCCATCCAACTGGTCGACTCTTGATTCGAGGCACCGTGACGATTCATTCGCTCTATTCCGCCATCAAGCGGACGATTCAAGTAAAACTTTAAACTGACAAAATAAATGCTTATGATGGAAATATATTCTTAATATTGCCTTAAACTGTCCTTCTAGTATACTTTCTGGTCCAGGACATGGGGTTTCCACAGCACGGTGTGGGGATCAGTGGCGTTTGGCTGCCCCTTTTATTTCGAATCCGGCGCGAAGCGGCGAGCCACTTCCCGAATCGGTCACGCGGTACGGACCGCCAACGAGGTCTCTAACATCACTGCTTATGTAATCAACACAAGCCTCGATACGCGCTTCACAAAAAAATCTTCCTGGGTACCCGACACACGCTTCGAAGCGTCGACACATCACTAGTAACCACCAGTGGCTCATCAGGGTCACCTGTGCCCCCCCCCCCCCAACTTTGATAATAAACTTCCTATGTTTTCTAACTAGCTTCAAACTCTTGATGGAAAAGTTGCCTGCTCAGGCGTAACATCCTGAGGGGGCGGGGCTTCATCTCCATGTGCACACCCCACTATTCCTGGTTGAACCACTGGGTGTGATGTACAATTTTCCCGTTACATTTTATGAAACTTAACAGCAACTAAAGAACATCAAAGCCACCAGTCCTGTTTTACCTGCTTGTTCCATGTTGGTGGTAGCGTCAGCTTCAGCCATCGGATAAACATCCACAAACTCCTTCTTAAAGACCGACAGCAGGAAGGAGATGCGGTAGTCCAGACGGACGTTCAGGATGAACTGATGAAGAGGAGATGAAGGTGGGTTAGGCTGTTCTGTTCCCAACTGAGCTGAACTTGATTTATCATCACATCAATTAATTATTTATCTTAAAACTTTCATCAGCAGCGTTAAGGGTTAACCCTCCCACTGTCTTCATGGGTGACCCCGCCAGGAAAGGTGACCATTGAGCAGGGTCGATGGTTTATCCCTTGAGGTCCATGTGGCAGGGGTGAGGTGGTGCTCACTCCTCACCCCTGCTCAATGGTCACCTTTCCTGGCGGGGTCACCCATGAAGACAGTGGGAGGGTAAAGTATTTTTGTAACAACCGTTTTTACAGATTAAACTAATGACACTCCCTCCGTGACGTCACCCGTAGGTTTCTGGAGCAGAACTGAGCACCAATGTGTGGCTCCCACCACTGCTACCTTGGCACCTCCTGGATTATACAAAAATGGACAAGGAGGTGGAGCTGAGAGTGGGACTGTGGCGATGTGGGCAGATGACTGACACACATCAAGCCCCGAGTCGATATAGCTGCAAGCTAACTGAGCTAGCCGAAGCTAACATGCTTGCTGATGCTTTTAGCCAGAAAACAAGGCCGAGTGACTAACATGAAGCACGCAGCAACTCACCGAAATGAGGCGTTACTGTGGTCTCCCTCGGGGAGCTGCACAGGTGCCCGGCCCCGGTTACAGCGATCAGAGCATGCTGCAGCCCTGCTCCGCCGCAGTCAGACATCCGCACAGCTGCTGCTACAGGAGTTTTGGTACAGTCTCCCTCCCTTCAACAGCGAAAGCTTCGTGGTCAGAAGGGAGGGAGACATAGCTGCGAGCTAACCGAAGCTAACAAAGGTTTTCAGGCGCTTTTGGCCAGAACATAGCAGCTTCGCGGTCAGAGATCCCGCTGCAGAAAGGAGGGAGACGGTACAAAGTCTCGGTACCCAACCCTACCAACATCCGCCAGCATTATATCTCACCCATTTTTTGACCAAGCAGCATTAAATGCACAGAAGTTGACCCTGTCGAACAAGCAGATTTCTAACGTGAGGCCGAGGCCTTTCCCAGAGCTAGCCACCAGCACCAGCTCCGGCAGCTCATCTGCTGTCTGTCAATCAAAAGGACACGCCCCTAATTATTCCTTATTTTAAGCTTTAATTACATCAAAACAGATGAGTTATAAAAACTCACTGCCCCCAGAGTTGTCATGACATTAAACCGGAGCTTTTTTTTACCTAAAATGTTGTTTTTAACCTTGCTGAAAAATCTTTATTCCAGCTGTGGAACATTGGAGCCTGCCCCTAGTGGATGAGAGGGGAACTGATTGCCCTTTGGGGTAAACCCAAAGTATAAATACCGTAAATCCCCTAATACAGGCCGGTATTCAATTAAAGGCCGGGTCTCCAATTTTGGCCGGTGTCGGCGGAGGTGAATAATGGCCTGTCTCTTATTGTGGCTGGGTGGAATGTGGTAACAAGCAAATACGGGAGGCGGTTGTGTCATCGTCTCACTTTTGATTTGCCAGTGATAGACCGCGAGGGTAACTTTAACCGTGCGGAGACGACGAGGAGGCGAAAATTTGATATCAAGTTCAAAGAGAACGTGCGCTGCAGAACACTCTGGGGAGCAATAGGGGTTGTATGAACTAGTCGACTTCACTATAGTGACTTTTTATGCCTGTCGTCGACTAGTCGCTGTCACGTGATAATGACCGGCAAGATGCAGCCCTCGAAAAAGACAGCAGCCTGCTGTCAGCAGGTGACAAGCTCCTGCGCTCGGGGGTGGGGGGGGGCAACGCGCTGTGCCAGAGCGTTGGTACTGACACGCGATCGTTCATGTCGGTTCATTTCCTTTAATGTTTTCTGTCTTTTTTTTGAATATGTGGGCGCAATTTTAATTGTCAAAAACTCCAGCGAACGATTAGTTCATTTTGCTCAAATAGAGGCCTGCCTCTAATTCTGGCCCTCCTTCCAATAAAGGCCTGGAGCTTGATGAGCTTGAGTCAAATACAGGCCCAGGCCTGTATTAGACGATTTACGGTAATAATAAACGTTTCTGACCTGTAAAATCTCCAGGATCTTGAGTTTGGTGTCCATGACTACCAGGTCCTGCTTATCAAGACTGTCTTTTCCATCTCTCGGTCCCTCCAGCACGAATCCTGATCCTCTGCCAGCAGCACCTCCTGACATGGACTGCTTCCTGTTGAGGACCATGGTGGTCATCATGTGACCCATCCCATGTATGGAGCGCTTCACGCTCTTCCCTGTAGACACCAAACAAGTTCATCAGCATTGTGCAGCCAAAGTGTAGCTGGAGCTGGGTCAACAGGAACCAGAACCAGGAGCACCTGATCCTTCCTCCGGGAACATCTCGCCAGCTTGTGTGAGATTGGGCCGACAGTCAATGATCCCCAGCAGGGTCCTGGTGAGTCTGAGAAGCTCAAAGAAGCTGTAGAAACCAAAGTAGATGAGATGACGGGCCAAGCTAACCACCTGCAAGGAGAACGGAGACAAAAGCCGTGAAGACGGGAAGAGGAGGACTGAAGGAGGCAGGAGGCATTAGAAGACCTCGTATGTGAGTTTGTTCTTCTCCTCGTTGTGAAACGGCAGCTCCTCATTCAGAACGTTGTTGAGATACTCCTCCATGAACGCCATGGTGTTGGCAAAGCGATTCTTCTTGTTGTCTCTGCTGTCGTCCAAGTTGGAATCGTAACTGAAGACAAACACGTGAAGACTTTAGAACATCCACCTAAGATCTAGGAGGAACTCTGGGCTGAAGACAGCATGTTGAACATGTTAGGGGTCTCCTTAGATTTTCATATGAAGATCATGGTTCCTCCACCAGAGCAGGGACCAAGTGCTCCAGACTCTAGAAATCCTGCAGGGACTGAAACCTGCCTTCAGGTCCACACCTGGACCTGTCGAGACCAACGAGTCCTCAGACTAGATTAAGAATCCGGTTGCTTCCAAACTAAAACCACTGTAGGTCTAAATGCTCTAGATCTTCATGGCTGGTCAGTCGTTCTGTAAATCTCATCAGAACCAAACCTCAGCTGATTTTAATAAAGCAAGAAAATCCACCAACTCTTTGATGGTGATGGAGGTCGGGATCTCCGTCCAGAGGCGAGCAAATTTGACGGGGGTCACGAGCTCTTGGGGGTCTCGGTCTACGTGGGCGTGCAGCATGAGGCGACAGAAGGACGCCCGCAGGTCAAAGGGCAGCGACTCGTCCATCATGCAGAGGAAGATGAGCTCCACGTCCAGCTGCTTGGAGATCTCATGGATAGCCAGGTACTGGCGGTCCAAACACATGCGGGCAAAGAGCTTCAGCTGGTACCTGAGAGGGCCAGGACACAAAGGCTCCATTTAGAAGACCTGACGAGGCTCCTGTGGACGGTGTCTGGTGGACTTACCTGTAGTAGGTAAGGACGTTCTCATCGTGGGCGTTTCCCTGTCTTGCCTCCTGAGACAGCTGTCTGATGCTCTTCTCCTGTGTCTCTTTGTTCCTATCAGACCAAACCAGCCACACCTACACCAGGACAACAGAAAGGGACTTAAGGATTCTGTCCTCCAAAATGTCCAACCAAACCCACGGAAAAACTTCTCCGTCCAACAGGGTTCCCAGAACTAAGCGGATAGCCTGGCCAGCCAGCCCCCACCTCGTCCTCGTCTCCATAATCCTCCATCCCTGTGTAATCCCCCTGGACACCACCATGGGGCGCTTCTTTAGGGACTCGGCGCCTGGAAGCAGAAACAACAAATGAAGCATTTTTTTATTTAAAAAAAAACTTGTTTTGTTGGTGCCGCCCCCTGCTGGTTGAAGCTGGACAGCTTTTTCTGCAGACGCCAAAACTGGAACGAGCCGCCATTACTCATTCAGCTGTCCTCTTCTGTAGCGGTTTTAACTCGGAGCTGAGGACTCAGTGGGGCGACTGAAAGTTTCGCTGTTGTAACCCCATCTCTCGTTTTATTTGTGTGTTTTTATTTATCATTTATTTAATCTGTAAAGCACTTTGGTGGCGTGTTTGTGTCTGGAAAGTGCTGCAGAGAAAATAACATGGCTGACGCCGTACCCATAAGCAGTAAAAACGTTTAAATCCTAAAATTAGGATTATATATTTTAAACTTTTTACAACTTTAAGACCTGCAGAAACCTTCTGTTTGGTTTATTATACACGTTTGCATTTATGTCAACAATCAGCTGTGGGGAAAAAAGTGTCTGAAAATAAAGTAGGCCAGATCCTGATCCAGAACCAGATTCTGTTCCGAGATCCTGATCCTAATCCAGATCCAGATTCTGTTCGAGATCCTGATCCTAATCCAGATCCAGATTCTGTTTGAGATCCTGATTCTGATCCAGAACCAGATTCTGTTTGAGATCCTGATTCTGATCCAGAACCAGATTCTGTTTGAGATCCTGATTCTGATCCAGAACCAGATTCTGTTCGAGATCCTGATCCAGAACCAGATTCTGTTCCGAGATCCTGATCCTAATCCAGATCCAGATTCTGTTTGAGATCCTGATTCTGATCCAGAACCAGATTCTGTTCGAGATCCTGATTCTGATTCTGATCCAGAACCAGATTCTGTTCGAGATCCTGATCCTGATTCTGATCCAGAACCAGATTCTGTTTGAGATCCTGATTCTGATCCAGAACCAGATTCTGTTCGAGATCCTGATCCTGATTCTGATCCAGAACCAGATTCTGTTTGAGATCCTGATTCTGATCCAGAACCAGATTCTGTTCGAGATCCTGATCCTGATTCTGATCCAGAACCAGATTCTGTTCGAGATCCTGATTCTGATCCAGAACCAGATTCTGTTCGAGATCCTGATCCTGATTCTGATCCAGAACCAGATTCTGTTCGAGATCCTGATTCTGATCCAGAACCAGATTCTGTTCGAGATCCTGATCCTGATTCTGATCCAGAACCAGATTCTGTTCGAGATCCTGATTCTGATCCAGAACCAGATTCTGTTCGAGATCCTGATCCTGATTCTGATCCAGAACCAGACTCTGTTCTAGATCTTGATCCAGGTCCAGATCAGACTTGTTTCTGTGAACTAATTTCTTCTAGTTCTGACTCACTCTGTCTTGATGAGGATGTCCTGGTTATCCGGATCGAGAACACATTTACAGATCAGCTCCTGTGTGACGGGGATGGCCACGTTGTTAGACACACACAGGTCTGACAGGTAGTCCAGAAACCTACACAAGCACATGAGATGCTAGAGGGAATCAGAACATCAGACATGCCACAGGGCCCAGTGTAAGGTCAGAGAACACCAGCTGACCAGGCAGCATCAGAACAGTTTCAGAACCTGCAGACCCACATGAGTACCTGGGCTCTCGGTTCTTGCGGACCAAGCTTACGAAGGTCTCCACCTCAGTCTTGGTGATGTGTTTCTCCAGCAGTTTGCGGTTGTTGTGCAGCAGGGCAGTGATCGTATCTTCGGCCAGGATGTCGTAACCAATCTGGCTCTGCATCACACCAAAATGCTTCGCTATGTGCTCCTGGGGGGAGGAGCCAGAAGTACATCACCTATACTTCTGCCAAGATCCTCATAATTAGTTTAAAAACAAGAATTTCTGTAGATCAGTAATGGCTTGCTCGTTTTAAATGTTGCAGAAATTAAACACCTGAAACTTCTACATGTGGAGTTCCTCAGGGCTCCACTCTGGGCCCTTTAGTGCTTTACACTACCCAGGCGGTGACCAGAGTGCTTAACATTTAAAATGTAATTAAGAACAAGTAAAACATTTTATAAAATCACTGTTAAAAAAAAACAGCAATAACAAGTGAAGTTAAAGGTGCAGTATGTAAGAACATAGTGAGAATTTTACAGTGAGAAAATCCCAAAAGTGTCGGATGTTTCAGTCATTTAGGAAGGAAGGTTGTAATGGCTGGCTGCTGGATTGTGAGTTTTTCTTCTTTCCAAATAAAGGAAGGAGGGACATAACTACTGTTCACCATCAGTGTGTGTGTGTGGTGGTGGTGGTGGTGGGGGGGGGGGTCTCTGCGAACTAATGCTGCAGCACCCATGATATTAATTTGACAACAGCCAGCAAAAAGCTCCAGTTGTTTGAAGTGGTTGCGGTCAACACATTTTACAACAGGTTGCCATTTTTACTTCGTTTCTACATAATGCACCTTTAAAATACTAACAAAATCAAGAGCACAACTCTCCAGGGCATTCGAAAGCCCTACAAAAGAGATCAGGAGGTAGTTTGTTCCACAGCGTTGGCGCTTTGAACGACCGCCCCGCCGTCTGTGTCTGGATTGTTGAACATGTAAATAAAACTAACAGGAAGATCTTGTTTCTCTTAGGTGTGTTCTTGCTGTGCGTTATTTCTAATTCCATGTTGTCGTTCTTTTTTTTAAAACACTGACATGGGCAATAAACAAAGGGAAACGACAAACAAAAACAAAAAGCAAAGAACAACCCAAAAAAAGAACCAGAAACTCAGAAAGACAAGAACCAAAACCAGTGATGACCCTACCATACATCAGAGGCATAACGGAAAAAATAAGAGCAACAATGAAAAAACACAACATAAACACACCAACAAAGCCATACACAACAGTTAGAAACAGACTAGTACACCCAAAAGACAAAATATCAGCTGGACAAAAATGTGGAGTCGTTTACGAAATCCCATGCAAACTCTGCAATAAAACATACATAGGAGAACCCGGACGCCAACTCAACACACGAACAATAGAACACAGAAAGGAGTGCGAGAAAGAGGCAAGCCGAAAACACACAAGAGCAGCAAAAGAAGAAGCAGAAAGCACAATAAAGAAGTCAGTCATAACAGAACATTGCTTAAGAGAAAACCATATAATGGACTGGGACAGCACACGGATCATAACCACCGAACAACAAAAATACAACAGATGGATCAAGGAAGCAATCGAGATAAGGAGACGTGGATGTGGGACCATGAACAGGGATGACGGAGTTTACACGCTGGACCACGCATGGGACCGCATCGTCAGAGAGGGGACAGCGGGCAGTAGAGGGCGACAACGTCCTCTGCTGCCCGCAGATAAATGGAGAAGGAAGTGACGCCACCATCAGCGTCAGCCTGAAGAAGCCGTCAGTGAAACGTAGCGTCAATAACAGGTAGCAAAACCGTTTCTGTCTTGTTTCTCTGCCAACTTTTGGCTCTCGCTGATGTAAGAAGGGGCGGGGCCAGGAATACCTTTAAACACAAACATTATAATCCCGAATCCAATCCTAAATCCACCAGGGAGCCAATGAAGTGATGAGAACTGGAGTGCTGCCGCCTAGAGGTGCGTTTTGAACCCGGTGAGGTGTTTTCTTGGTAAACTCTCAAAAGCGTTGCAGTAGTCCAACAGGAGCGGATGAAAGCGTGTCGGGCTCTTTTTAGCATCACAGCCACTTAGAAATGTTTTACTTTAGCTCGAAGAAGCTAGTCTTGACTACGGCATCAATCATGGCGTTATTGAATGACACCCAAAGCGGACTCTGATGCTTCCTGTATCTGGATTAGACAAACCCATTCACATTGGGTCTTATTGCTTCTGTTTAGTTAAACCAGGTAACCTCTAGTTACCCGGACCTGGGCTCCATCCTCACCTGGTTTTTGCGGTAGTCGTCCTGAGAGTGTCTCAGGACTCTGTAGCAGAGTCTGAGCATGTACTTGTACAGCGTGTTCTTCTGGTCCATCAGCTCCTCCAGACGCAGCAGAGGTCCCTCCCCTCCCCCCCGGTCCTTAAAGGGAGCCTTTATGATGCCGAAGATCTGAACACAAACAAGAGGCGTCACTTCCTGCTTCACTAGTGCATCGTGGGTAACCAGCTCACCTGCTTCAGGATGTTCTGCTCCCTCATCAGTTTCTGCCTCTCTCGGTTGGGTTTGGTCATCACCACGTCCAGAACCTGCTGACCGCTGTTCACAACATCAGCTACGAAGAAAACCACGTCCTCCAGCAGCTTGATGGCAAACCTGGCAAACACAAATCCAGATCAGCATCGACCCGTTCCAACAAAACCGGACCAGGTTCTGGTTTTTCAACCGGAGGCTGGAACGGCACCTTCGGTCGTTCGGGCAGATGAAGCCCGAGTTGAACTGCTTCACCACGGTGGCCAGCATGGCGCTGGCATCATTAGCAAAGTCCAGATCCCGGATCTCCATCACAGGAACCGAGACGATGGAGAACGCCTCCTTGTCTTCTTTGGTGGGACACGTCCCCAACTGCAGGACACGTCACGCGGGTCCAATATTTAGTTCCAGGAACCAAAAAAAAACCCAGAAAAATTCACATTTTCATGAGGTTTTTTCTTTTGGTTTGAAGACGACTGATCTTGTTTCTAAATCTGAATCAGCTGATCCGTCTACAAGGTCACCATGAGCCTGATGGGTCGCTCCTCGTCCACGTCGATGGGAACGTTAGTGCTCTGGATCCACGTGTTGGTGCACAGATGTCTGAGCCGCACGTACGAGTTCCTGAAACGCACACAGCACTTTTCAACCCAATAAACAGAACTTTATCCTTTACTTCTGAGCGTCTACGGCTGTGTGGCTTCAGCAGTAAATCTGGCGACTTTCAAAATAAAAGCTCCACATTTTGATCACTTAAGGATTTAATTTTGGGTTTGTTTCACACAAACGTGATGAGTAGTTCTGGACACCCGGATGTGAGAAAGAAGCAGCAACAACAAACACCGTGACTCGTTTAATCATACGGTTCAGACTCTTATTGTGAAACAGGAAGTGTCCTACCGTGGAACGAAGGAGTCGGTTTTCTGGAGGGTGGTCGGGTCCAGCTCGAATAGCGAGGCAATGTCGTTCCCATGAGGAACGACCACCAGCTTGTACTTGATCCGTTCCCCCTGGGAGCGCTTGTTGCTACGGCTACCATCCATCTGCAAGGAGGTCAGAGGTCAAGAGGAACGCTTGGTGTTTAAATACTTCCTGTCACAACACAGATTCCTGGTGATGGGATTTTTAAACCCGAGAAACTGATCAGAGACACCAGAACCGTCCTGAGACCGAGCCGAGCTGGAGCCAGAACTAACAGAACCCGATAGAACACAGACGGCAGGAACTCACCGAGGCCGACAGCTCTACGTTGTCTCCCTTATAACCCGGGTTCTCCTGCAAAAACAGCAGAACACTCCATCTCAACAACTTCAGGAAGTCCAGGATGAAATCATTCCTGCTCAGATCTCCGAGGAACACAAAGAAACCCAAATGCTGACCGTTGTGGTTCTGTTAGAATCACTGAACGTGAAACACTAAATAAATCTGAATCTAGAACCGTTCTCCAGGCTTCTGAAGCTCAGTCCAGATGTTTTTGGGTTCTCCACCTAGATGATCCAAGCTCGGTCATGATGAGATCGACCCAGATCAGAAATGTTCCAGTTGGCTTCTCCATCAGTGTGGATCAGAACCCAACGTCACTGACTGAACTGTAGCTCAGAACCAGATGGATTTGGACTTCTGAGTCCTTTAAGCTAAAACTCAAATGAAACCAGATGGGTGTTCTGGTACCAGAGTCCAAGTCCAAAGGAAAACTCTAAAGGTCTTCAGAGAGTCCAGAGACCGGGAGTTCTGGATCAGAACCTGTGGGATGTCTCTGCTCGTACCTCAGCAGCCAGGTAGCTTCCTGTGGCCAGGTGTTTGAACCGGTACAGACTGTTCCAATGCCCCGCCCCCCCACGGCACGGGTCATGATGGACGACCTGACAGACCAATCAAGACACAGAGTTATAGATACACCTCTGTGTGTGTGTGTGTGTGTGTGTGTGTGTGTGTGTGTGTGTGTGTGTGTGTGTGTGTGTGTGTGTGAGAGACCTCGATCTCCCAGAGAGCGTTGGAGCTGGTCGCTGACGTCGCCGACTGCCTCAGCGTCGTTCTCAGGAAGACGTGCAGTTTGGTTTTGTACTCGTCGCAGGTCAGAAACTTTTCCTGTTCAGCGTGGAACAAACGCACAACATCGCCCTGACACACACACACACACACACACACACACACACACACACACACACACACACACACACACACACAGTAGAAATCAGTAAAGCAGCATCACGTGTTCCGCTGAGACTCATGGGAAACGTAGTTCTATCTCCAGGAGAACCTTCTGCTTTTCTCAGGAACAGGTTTGCTTTACGTCTGACCGCAGGGTCACGTGGGGTCAAACGGAAGGGTCTGCACAATGTGATCAGAGTGTAGAGGTCAAAGGTCATCAAGTCGTGACTCACTCCTTTAAGGACATCCTCTCTGTGGTCGCTGAACATCATGAACAGGTTGATTTTCCAGCTGGTGTTGCAGTTCACCGAGTTCACCTGCAGGGGGCGGGACGCACGCGCGCGCACACACACACACACACACACACACTTGTGTTGGTTGTGATGATGAACACATTCATGTTTGCGTGTTTCATATAAATAAACATGACGTCACATCTTCAAACACTTGATTCTAGCTTTAATCGTGTGTTTCTTTGGTCTCTGATTGGTTGTTTGAGTTTGATTCACTATTTCCTGTCGTCAGATTCGTGTCGTCGGTGTTTTTGTGTTCCAGTGAACCTGAAGCTGTGAGTTTCACCTCTTTACATCCAGGATGGTCGGTCAGCTCGTAGTTGGAGGCGTGCAGTGGCTGGCCGGCGTTCACCGGATTCAGGATGACTTTGTCTCCGACCACCACCTGCAGTCACACCAGGAATTCACCGGAAAGTTGGAACATTCACGTCTTAATCTTTTTAAGAGCAAGGCAACTTTTATTTTTACTGATAAACTATATAAATGAGTGTCTAACCGTGCTGCAGACACGCGTAATCGATAATTTGGCACTTTAGTGCATCTTAGTTAAAAATTAAAATATTCTGCTTAAAACTGTCAGCGTAGCGCCCTCTTCAGGTAAAAACTGTGCACTGCGTTTGAATTTAAATCTGCCATCGCTATTGGCTAAGAGGTACACTATGACATTAGTTGGTACATTATGATGTCACAGTGTTGTTGTGAGCTTGTGTGTGTGTATTTGTTCTGCCTTCTCGGTTTTCCAGGCATTTGTTGCATTTTTCAAACAGGAAGTGGGATTGGAGGAAGGCGCTGGAAGGGCGTGGCTTGCTCTTTAAATACTGCGATTAGTAAAAATAAACGTATTTATTAGCTTTATTGTAAGCATTTATTCTTGTTGTACATTTTTTTCTCTGGATTAAATGAAGTAAACAACCAGTTAAAGCCATGAACGTAAAAATCACTCAAAAAATCTGATTTTGTCATTTTATTAAATATTTTGTTTTCTAAATGTTGTCATTTTAATTTTGTTTTATTTCATTTTTTACGCTTTTTTAAATGTGACTTTTTATTGTTATGCAGCTCTTATTGTTTCACTACTAAATGAATGTTTTAATGTTAAAGACCATTTATTAGACATTTAAATGTACAAACTGTGTTTATAGTATAAACAGGTTCTAAAAACTTGCTTATTTTATGATTTTTTTAATTAATGATTTTTATATTTTAAAACTATTAAATCTGACAAACTTTACACTTATTCTGCATTTTTTATTGAGACGGACTCAAATGTGTTTGTGCATTATTATTATTATTATTATTATTATTATTATGCCTATTTAATATCTTTATAACTTAGCAGACGAGGCGTTTGTTTACGTTGTCTCCGTTGGCGCGAAGCTTCCAGAAGGGCTGGATGAAGAGCCACGAGCCTTCGTTCCCCGTGGCGTCCAGCGTCACCCGCATGGCGTTCTTCTCCAGCAGAGCCGGCAGCCGTTTGTTCACCGTCAGGTATTTGTTACTCTTCATGTGGAGCAGCTGGAACCAGAAACCAGAGTTAAACCAGAGCTGGTTCTTATCGCCACCAGCGTGTGAACGATTGTGTTATAAAGCGCCTTGGGGGGTTGTCGGACTTTAGAAAGTGCTAAATAAACACAATCAAATTAAAGAAATATAAAAAAACAGGCTGCGCAGTGGTGCAGTGGTTAGAACTGTTGCCTTGCAGCGAGAAGGTCCTGGGTTCGCTTCCCGGCCTGGGATCTTTCTGCATGGAGATTGCATGTTCTCCCTGTGCATGCGTGGGTTCTCTGGGTTCTCCGGCTTCCTCCCACAGTCCAAAAACATGACTGTTAGGTTGATTGGTCTGTCTAAATTGTCCTTAGGTGTGTGTGTGTGTGTGTGTCCTGTGTGTCTCTGTGTTGCCCTGCGATGGACTGGCTCTCTGTCCAGGGTGTACCCCGCCTGATTGCCCGTTGACCGCTGGAGATATAGGCACCAGCCCCCCCGCGCGACCCTACGTGGACAAAGCGGGTTCTGAAAATGGACGGATGGAAAAGAAAAACCAGATTCTGGAAGTAAAAACGTCTCCATGAAGGGTTTTTCATCGCACAGTGATGGTGAGGTCACAGACAGAAAACAGACCGATCGCTGATCGGAACCACGATGAACGTTGGACAATTCCTGTTGGAAAATGATTTTGTTATTTATCGGCAGAGATGAGTTCTGGATCAGAACTGAATTTTACCATCAGGTTAAAGATTTACCCATAATCCATCTGGTGAACCGAATCGGCCAACGTTTCAGCTCTTAGGGCCACCGAGGACCAATTTGCACCAACCATCAGCTTCTTCATGTGTTTGTTTACAGGAACCAAACTTAATCACACACAGCCTAGCCAACAAAGGGTCACACATATCTCGTTGGACCACCTTCAGCTTTGATTATGACACATTCGCTGTGATGTCACCAGATTTATCTCCATCGGTGTTGCATTAACGTTTCACCAAGATCTTGCATTGATGGTGGAGTCTCCAGCACATCCCAAAGACTCTCCAAGGGGTTAAGGTATGGACTCCGTTGATGGAATAACCTGGTCATTCAGGTAGTCAGCTGACCTCATTCTTGGAGCACTTCCTGTTGCTGAGCCTAGACCTGACCACCTGCAGCAAGCCCAGATCATAGCCCTGCCCCCACAGGCTTGTGCACTAGTCATGATGGGCGCATCCCTTCATCTGCCTCTCTTCTTACCCTGATGCGCCATCGCTCTGGACCAGGGTCCATCTGGACTCACCAGACCAGTTTAATAAAGCGTTGGACAGTTCTGAACCCAGTTTCTGCATCTCCTTTGATGTTTTCTCTGCGTGATGCCGATGATCTGACCCTTCTCACCCAGACTAACATCTTCTCCACCACCAGGTGTGTCTTTCCACCTGGTTGTTTAGGGAATGAGAAGCAGCTCACTGCACCAGTTGGGTTAAATAAGTTGTTGCAGTAATTTTCCACTAGGAGGCTCCCACCTGCCTGCTTGGTTAAATCCAGGTGGAGGCTTTGTTATTGGTCAGGCAGTGTAAATAATAAACAAAATGTTAATCTGAACTCTGAGATAAACTGGAAGCTGCGGGTCGGAGCCATACAGGAATCGGTTATCGGCCTCAAACCCAGAATCGGTGCATCCGATTTTTGTTTCAGTAGAATCGTGAGGAGCCACAGTAACGTCTCCACACCTTCACCTGCTTCACCTGCGTGTCTTTAAAAGTCAATACTGAGTCACCTATCAAAACACAGGCGGGGTGCGACTCCTGCTCAGGAGAATCAGTCACACCTGTCTCACACTGACCCCGCCCCCCAGTTTTAACAAGGCAGGATCAACATCTGGGTCACGGATCCACACATCCAACTGAGTAGGTTCTGTTAGGTGGGTCGGGATCCAACATGTACTGGCTCAGCCCTCTGAAGAGAGGGAGGGCAGGGTCACATGGTTGCCATGGTGACAGTGAGTCACAGACTTTCATGGACAAGGTTTCAATAGAAAGTTAAAGGAGGGCTGATGTGTTTTCCTAGTAACTAGTTTATACCTGCAGTCAGTCCTCGGGGGTGGGGGTGGGGGGTTGTCGGTCCGAACCGGTCCAACAACCTACCGGAACATGTGCAGCTGCGCAGGTCCAGTAACATTCTTACTTTTCAGTGAAGAATGTTGCTTAATGTCCGTCTTCCATCGCTCAGCTAGAAGCTCCACCGGTGAAGTGCTGCAGTTCCAGCAGGGGGCGACGTTCTAAAGAACCTAACCATCAGAACCCAAACATAACCTCTTGGGAATAAACGTAGGTACTGGCTGTGAAAAAGATCCAAACTTCAATATCAGCTGCATCAAAAACTAGTGATGCACCGATATGAAATGTTTGGGCCGATACCGATATTAAGATCACCGTTATGGCTGATACCGATATTCTGACATTAATGCTTCTAAAATCAGCAGATTTTGCATAGAATGAAAATTAATAAAGCTGGATTTACGTTATTATGTACACACACACACACACATTTACGGTTCTGAGATGATTTCATTCACTGTTAACAAAACTAAACAATTACACACACACACACACACACACACACACACACACACACACACACACCCGAAAGAGGCAAACAAATGGAAATGAGATGGAAAAAATATTGGTTGTTAAAGGGACTTTACGGAGTTTTGAATTTTTATGCTCGCGATTGCCCCCTCAGGCCAAAAGCATAACGACAGCTTCAATAGTAGGCTCGTGCACGAGGCGCGCATGCTGTACGTGCACACTCCTTAATGAAAATAACAGCTGAGACAGTCCCGTGTGTGTGTGTGTGTGTGGGTGGCCCGGAGGACAGAGGACAGGAGAACACACAGCTAATTAATTAAATAATTTGGTTCTGTAGCTTTCTCTTCAGCACAGCGACAAAGGTTTATGACGGGTCAGTCCTCCTGCATGCTCAGATCATTCCCTTCCCTTGCTTGAAAAATTGTTCCAAAATGAAAGTTGAACCCACATCTTTTTTATCTGTGAATTCAATGCCGTTCGGCGAGTCTCAAATTAAAATTTGGGCATCTTACTGTAAAAAAAAATATCATTCATGTAAAAAAGAAACTCTAAATAAACTATGTTCACATCAAGATTCGAGCCCGGATCTTCTGCTTGAGAGTCCAACGTCTTACTAGGTGAGCTAAAGCGCCAGTGACGTCCTTTGTACCTGTAACTTTTATATCCTTGATGACAGCTGAAACAACGTTTAAAGAACGGTTCGGAGTGAAAATGGCTATTTTGTTGCTAATTAGCAGGAAATATCTAGAAGAAAGTTCTACAGAAAGTAGCTAAGGGTCCTCAGAAATGTAGCTAGCTTTGTCACTAGGCGTTAGGAACAGCGACAAAGTGGCACTGCCTCTCTCTCTGCTGCTAAAGCTACGGATAGCAAATGCTACGGGCGATGCCTGAGCGTGAACGCGCATGAAGCAGCCTGCTCGACCCGAGCATCTCTCTTTTTCTGTGATTTTACAGAAAAACAGGCAATCACAGTAAAAATGCCAGGGCTCGTTCTACAGGACCAGGGCATTGCAGGAGAACGTATGAAGAAGACATTTATTATTCCTATACGTGTTTTGGCTGTCAAACTTCCATAATGCCCCTTTAATATCGGCCCGGTTTATCGAACCGATACCGATATGTTAAAAAATGACTAACATTGGCCGATGCCGATATATTGTCCATCCCTATCAAAACTACATGAGAATGTTCTTCAGGATCCAGATTCCAGAAAAGTCCTGCTTCACATTGTTACACAGATAAAATAGAACCAAGACCTGGTTCCTGGTTCCACCCGAACGAGGGATTGGTTCACTTTCCAAAGTCCAGTCGACCCAATTCAGGTCATATCAGGTGGAACCAACTCCAGAACCTCAGGCCGACCCCAGACCATCACGAGGAACGATGTGAAGCTGAAATATGGGAACGCGTGGACTCAGAAGGTACGGTAAAGTCCAACTGCTGCTTCTACTTAGTTTTTCTGTCAGAACAACGTCGGCCCGACCAGCCACCTGGTCAACGACTTTAATCTGGGTTTTAGTCTGACTCCAGTGTGTAAAAACATGGAGATGATCCAACAAAGAACTGCCTTCAGAGACCTACCCAGACCCACGGGTTCTGTTAGAACCAGCTCGGTGAAATACAGTACCTGTAAGACGTTTCCATACTTGACCACATCCCCGTGGACCTTCTTGTTTTCAGTCTCATTTTGCTTCTGCTCCAGGTTGGACGCATGCTGAAGACAAAAGATCAAGTGGAACATTTGAACGTGTTCTTCGTTCAACTGGAACTTGGTGGAGAACATTTCCTGCTGGAAGGTGTTTCACCTGAAGCTTCTGGAGTAGAACCACGTCAGAGATCTTGTCCTTCTCGTGTTTGGCTTGTTTGGCTTTCCAGTACTGTTTCTGGGCCGAATAGCGACTCATCGGACAAACCTTAAACAGACAGTCTGAAAACAAACAAACATCTTCATCAGTAAAGAGAAAAGGTAAAACTGATTTCACGTGTTTTTCTGGTTCACTTTAAATCAGAATCAGTTCTGGTTTACTTAGATCTCCCTTCCTAAGAACCAGACAGAACAGAGATGTTTCTGAATTATCCGGAGGTTAGCTTTAAAGGGACAATGTCAGGAAACATCCCCCTTCTGGAGTTTGTGACTACATTATTTTTTATTTCCTCCATGTCTGCATTTTCCAGTCTCCATTGTGGGAGCCTGGATGGGTCCAGTCTGCATCATCACGGCCCGCTTCCAGGTAGTCTTTAGTCCAGATTCCTCCTCCCCTGACTGTAAACACCAACACCCGGTCTCTCCGTGTAGCTAGCAGGGGGTTTAATCTCCACAGTTTCCTTTCTAGAACCAAAAGGAACTTCCTGAAGAATCTGCAGAAACGGTATGCATGGTCGTATCGTCAGGAGCTCTCAAAGCCAACGTTAAAACCACCTGATGGGTGGCCCAGAGCGGTGAGTTCAGCTAAGATGCTAACCGCTAGTTTGGTGGGTGAGCATCAGAGACGGACTGGGACAATAATTCATGCTGGGAATCTGGTACCATCTCAGCCACCATTTCTCTAAGTAAGTGATGGTGATGCGTGAGCGTGTGTGTGTGTGTTGTTTCAGCCAAAACATTAGGAACACCCTACTGGATTTAGACGCTGTAATTACTTTACTTGTAAATAAGCCACAGTTATTTTGTCTTAAGGGAAAAGAGACGTGAACATCTTTGTTGTGAAGTAATTTAATCAGAATGTGACCATTTGATCAGAATCACTAGTTTTTGTTTGACTAATATCAGGAAGTGATGGTATCGTTTAAGGTGGAGCACGAATAAAGACGAGTGAAACGTCTGCAGAGTAGGACAGTAAATATTGACTTTTCTCCATCACATCCTGGATGTTCACATAGTTTCTACTAGACGTGTATTTGTCGAGCAAACATCGGTGAGTAAATGTTCTGTTATCATGATCCAACAGGTGAAAAATCACTTTAACCTGCAGGTTTGAACTCAGACACAAACAGTTTCTACTGGGGAATTCAGCTCTCCTCTGACACGTCAACACCATAAAACACACACAAAAACCCCTACAAATAATAAAAAATACAACTAAAAACTACTAAAAACACAATACAAAATATAAAACTATAACAACTAAAACACAATAAAACACACAAAAAATACCCTACAAATAAAAATTAAATACAACAAAAAACACAATACAAAACATAAAAAAACAAAACAAAAACACAATAAACCAACACAAAATACACACAATAAAAAACAATAAAACTACTACTACTATTAATCATCATATTTCTTATTATTACTTTTATTATTATTATTATTATTATTATTATTATTATTATTAGTTGTTGTTGTTGTTATTAAGGGGGACATATTAAAACTTTATGTTTATGTATTTAGCTGACACGTTTGTCCAAAGTGACTTACAAGTGATAATCGGCATGTTGCCCTTGAGGCTAACAACAACAATAACAACAACAACTTGACATCAATCATGGAGAGGAGGGAACAAGGAGTGGACAGTAGAGAGGGGGACGGGTGCAGGGAGGGTGCTAGTTTAGAAGATGCTCTCTGAAGAGCAGGGTCTTCAGGAGTTTCTTGAAAATTGAAAAGGAAGCTGCTGTTCTGGTAGTGCTTGGAAGGTCATTCCACATTTGTGGAACGATGCATGAGAAGAGCCTGGATTGTCCTGAGCGTGGTGTAGGCACTGCTAGCCGATGATCCTGTGATGATCTCGGCCGGGCCGAGACGTAAGCCTTTGCAGAGGATTCAGGTAGATGGGAGCCGTACCATCTCGGACTTTGTATGCTAGTGTTAGCAATTTGAATTTGATGCGTGCTGCTAGCGGTAGCCAGTGGAGCTCAATGAACAGAGGGGTGACGTGTGCTCTTTTTGGCTGATTGAAGACCAGACGCGCCGCTGCGTTCTGGACCATTTGAAGAGGTCTCACAGTACAGGCTGGAAGACCAGTTAGAAGGGCGTTGCAGTAAAACTTGATTTAACCAAATTATTATAGTTTTATGGTTGATCCAAATCATGTTTATCATGATTTAAAACATCCTCAGCAGCTCGACACTTTCAGAACCTTCCAGAATGAGCCGTTTCAGGGCTCCATCAATAAGCGTATGCTGGCCACACCCACCCATTTTCCAATTGGCTGCAATGAGATGAGAAGCTCCGATATTTGCGAGGGGCTTGAAGTAGAGCCGCTGCTCCTCCAGGGTCAACTCAACTCAGCCTTTATTTATAAAGCACCTTACAGTCATGAGCATGCCACCAAGGTGCTGTACAACAAAAGAGTAAAACAATAAAACATATAGCGCTACAGACATAATTAAAACCACAAATGAGAATTACAAAATATAAAACATTAGCAATTGCTAACCCACAGAATTAAAAGCCAGATCATAAAAGTAGGTTTTCAGCCTCATTTTAAATTCTGCTACTGATGGAGAGTCCCTAATGGTTAGGGGCAGGGCGTTCCACAGTTTCGGACCCGCAACAGAGAACGCCCTGTCCCCTCTCAACTTTAACCCGGCCTTAGGAGCCACAAGCAGCAGCTGGTTCTCAGAGCGGCGTGACCGGGCCGGAGCATATGGCTGCAGCAACTCCACCAAATAGGTTGGGGCCACACCACTCAGCGCCTTAAACACCATTAAAAGAAGTTTAAAATGAATTCAAAAATCAACAGGCAACCAGTGGAGAGCAGCCAAAATTGGTGTCATGTGTTCATGCTTCCCTTTGTTGTCCAAGAATCTTGCTGCAGCATTCTGGACAAGCTGCAGCCGGTTTACAGTACCCTTACTTACACCAAATAAAACGGAATCGCAACAGTCGAGTCATGAGGTAGTAACAGCATGAACAACGGTCTCAAGGTCACGTCTAGATAAAAACGGCTTTACTTTAGCCAAACGTCTTAAATGATAACATGAAGAGGATACTACAGTACCCACATGAGCATCCAGGCAGAATGCACTGTCCATCTTCACACCAAGGTTGGCTGCTGAAACACCCAGATATGAGTTCAGTTCACCGCAGTCTACGTTTGAAAAATCAACATGTCCGCTCGGACCAAACGACAGTGCCTCAGTTTTTTTCCATTGAGACACAGGAAGTTTTCTGCCGACCATGTCTTAATTTCTGCCAACCAATCCAAAAAAAATTTTATCGTGTGGTCACCGGCGCCATCTAGAGGCAAGTACAATTGGCAGTCGTCTGCAAAGAGATGGAATCCAATTCCAAACTTGCGTAGAATGTCACCCAATGGGAGAATATAAATAGAAAACAGCAAGGGTCCCAGTATAGAACCCTGCGGTATCCCCCAAGGCAGATGTGAGAAGCCCGATGAGAAACCACCCATCCTGTCACATAAATATGATCTAAACCAGTTTAGGGCATGCTCAGAAATTTCCACATAATGTTCAAGGCGATGGAGCAACACTTCGTGGTCTACGGTGTCGAAAGCTGCTGTGAGATCCAACAGGACCAGCAGCACTGGACTGCCACCGTCTGTTGCTAGAAGAATATCATTAAAGACCTTGATTAGGGCAGTTTCGGTACTATGCAACAATTTCACACCTGATTGGAGGGTCTCTAAAATATCAAAGTCCTTAAAGAAGTCCATGAGTTGAGGATAGACACAATTTTCAAGCATCTTACCCAAAAAAGGGAGTTTGGAGATTGGCCTATAATTCACTGGTCATGAAGCATCCATCCCAGGTTTTTTTTAAAAGTGGGTGAATAACTGTTTTTTTTTAATCTGTCGGTACAAAACCAGAAGGCAAACTGTTGCTGATTATGTGTGAAATCAGTGGTGCAACTGTTTGAAAAACTTCCACAAACAAACACGGGGGTAAAATATCTTCTGGTGACCCACTAGCTTTAGCCTCTTTTAACATTGACTGATTGATTTAATTTATTAAGTGTCATACAACATAAAGGTGCCCAGCCCACACAGGCTTAATATGGGCCATTCCCATCTGTACCGGGTCGGCCCGGGCCGGGTAGCGTAGGTTGTTTACATATCTGGGTGGCCTGGTATTCTTCCGGGCCAACCAAGGCTCATTCTCAGCCCTCTTCTCGAGGGGGTCTGCTTCAGGCCGACCAGGGCCAACACACCCACTGCTGACAGCAAATTCACACCTTCCATTAGAGCAAGCCTCTGATTGGTGGGTAGAATCAGCCCACATGGGCTTAAGACAAGGATGTGTGGAATCAACCGGGCCAGGCTGGGGCCGACTGGGGCTACCCGGGCCGACCCGGTACAGATGGGAATGGCCCATTAGACACTACAACAGTCAATAAATCATAACATGGCTGCGTGATACATATTAATACACAACACTGCTAAACAAACAACTACGACCACGTATTTCTTATACGGGGTATAGAATACTTTGGCGTCTGTACCAAGCCTTTTCCACAAATTTAGCTAAAACAAAAATATTATTTTCAAACAACCAATACATAATTTCAGCTTCCTGCTTCCAAAATAAATCAGGATTTTTCGACTGGATAAATTCAAATAAGGACTCTCTCCAATCACAATACAAGGAACCATGAAAGATAAAATGGAATTCATTCTCAACCACGTTGGAATCACAAAACTCACGTAGACGAGAATCCCAAGGTATTCCTTTTAAATCGTCCCACATCCACTGCCAAAGGGAGGGTGCCCATTCTTATCTGGGCACAGAGAGATCTTGGTCTTCTTGTTAACTTACATTTGAGATATAATTCTGTATTATAATCCCCCGCAATAAAATACAAGTGATACTGGATGAAAAGAGACCAGCCGTTCCTCAAAAGACGTAGAGGAGCTTAACACACTAGATTTAGGCAGGGCGTCTCGCAGCATCGCCACCATGTTGATAAAAAACTGAGAAAACTGTTACACAGAGTCGGAGGCCTGTGCAGGTGAGTGATCTTCC